CACAATTCAATCAACTCAAATGATTAAATACAAAAATTAGCTCAACATGGAATTTAGCAATCAAAGTTCCAACCAAATAAACAAATAAAGATCGAATCTTTAACATATTAGGGACTTCAAAATTACAAGTTCACCATAAAAATTCACACTTGAAGCAATTTATTTGCAGAAATGTGAAAATTTCAAGTTTATGTGAAAAATGAACTCACCAAATTAAGCACCAATTATGACTTCATAAACATGCTTAATAAGGTTTATAATTGCAGTAGATTAGTAATGCAACCATACATTTAATATACCTTTAACAAGCCATAATTAATCAAGGTTTAAAGATTTAAAATTTTTCATCAAAAACGAAAAACCCCTCGAAAAACATGTTTCTGGGTGGATTTTGGCTTCTTGACGGCCCATAAAAGGGTCAAAAACGATTTATAACATCGATTCCACCCAAAAATCACTATTTTTGAGTTGAAATCTGGGTTCGTAGACCAAAATTAGTAAGATACGAGATTAAAAGTAATTTAAACGAGCTTCTAATCTTATTAGAAAGCAAAACCAGAATTTAAATCCATTTTAAATCACTCAATTAATTATTAGTTACAATAATTAAAATGAGCGCGACTTCGATACCGCTGTTGGGTTTCGTAGCGTCCAACGCTACGCGGAAAAGAAACCCGCCCAAGACCCGCTCACTAATTAAAGCAACTAAATATTTAATCACATATTTACAACATAAAAGAGAGAAAGAGAGAAGACACTGTTACCCTTGACGCGTGCTTCGCTCGATTCACGAGCTCTTACTTCAAAGCCCGAGCCTTGCAAGGGCTACGACCTCCTACGGCTCGCACCCTCGACCCGACCCGAACGGTCTTAGTCCCGAAGGTTAGTCGGGACTTGATCAATAAAAACTATAGTGTTACGAACTTAAGGTTTTCTCACTTTTCTAAGGAGATGCCTTTTTAGTTCCACTCAAGTGTTCTTCCCAAAACCCAAAACTTGGGAATGGAGACTTGATCTCCATTCTCCCATCAATGTGGGAGATTTGCAATTTCCTCTATTTTATCAAAACAAAATAAAGTTGCAATTCAATCAACAAGCTATAAGTGGCACAAGGAGGGAGAGTGAGTCGGTGAGGACCACCAAAGGGGGGACCAACTCACCTTGCTCTCCAAGCCTAGCACCATCCCATTTGGTCCCCTCCTTGACCGGCTGACCATGCCACATGGCTGGCTGGCAGCCTGCCAGCTGGCGCCTAGCACCAAAGCTGGGTTGACCAGCAAGCACACCCATGCATGCGTGCTGCTAGCAAGCCACGCATGCTAGGCTGTTACCTATGCGCTGCTATGCAAGGTGCTGGGCTGCTGCCATGCGATGCCTAGCACGCATAGCGTGCTGCTGCTTGGTGCCCCTACGCTGGCACGCAAGCACAACATGCAGCGATGCCTGGCAAGCTTGGCTAGCAAGCACGCACAGCGCAGCACACTGCTAGCATGTGCGATGCTTCGTGCTAGCAAGGCCCAGCCTTGCGATGCTGCGTGCTAGCAATGGGCTGGGTGCTTGGCCTAGCATGCTAGCAAGCACGCAACGCACCATGCTTGCGATGCTTGCAGGCTGTGCTTACCCATGCCTAGCACGATGCGATGGCTAGCGCTGCTATGCTAGCACGCCTAGCCACGCATGCACAACCACACCACACACATGCATGCACGCATCTTGCGATGCTTGTGCCATGCGATGTGCGTGTGCTAGGGGATGCTAGGCACCCATGATGCGCATGGGTTGGTGACCTCGCCTAGTCTATCACTTGCATGGCTAGGCCAATGCGAGGCTACGGCTAGGCACAAACTTGTCGCTTGCTTGATTTCACGTCTCATCAAATTCTAAATTCGACTCGACTTGCGACGCTCTAAGCTCGATATCCGACGTCTTTGTTCGTAATACTTTAATGACTCATCTAATCCTTCGGATTGATTCGTCGATTCGGATCGGTTATTCGATTAGGGTGCGACCCAAAGGGTTCAGTTAAGATTAAGCCGTAATATTAATTATGCATTAATATTACTGATCGGAAGCGGCCTCTACCTAGACATTCCGATCACTTGACCTCACTGAAGAATTAGCTTTCTAATAATTCCGAACCCTCTATCGGAATAATACACTTGTTGGAAGGACACCATTCCTTTCAAAAGGAGCCGTCCGTGTATTGCTGCCTAACTGTTTGCTCAAATAATCTAGTCATGGTGTCCTGCACAGACACATAGACAGTCAGACTAGGAGAAGTTTACAAAGTGTGGTCCAGCAAGGGGCAGTCGTCACTCCTAGTTCTAGATTCAGCCGTCCCCGGTGACCAGCTGATCACTAACTAGGCCGTGCCGTGTGCTTTTGGGAAACCATTTTCAAAAAAGGAAAGAAACAAAGTAAAAATACGAGAGAAAAGCAGGCGGTTACCTTTGGTTTGTGAGTGCTGAAGATGCTTGAAAAGGTCTCGAACTGCTGTAAAAATAGCCAGTCAGGGACAGGTGGCAGTCGTTTCTCTCAAAAAATGACAAGTTCTTTCTAAAAAGTCCAGAGGTTCTATGTCTGAAAATCTTGAGAAGATGCAAAAAATTATTGGGGCGTCACCCTTATGTAAAAGGGTAAGAATTTTAAGGGCCACCCCTGAAATTCAAAAAAAAAAAAAAAAAAAAAGGGAAAAACGGTAAAAAAATCCGTCTTCCAATCCGCATGTGACACTTGTCACAGGCGCCACGTGGAAAGCCACGTCACCCCTGTGAGGGGCAAATGATTAGGGGATTTTTACCCCGCCACGTGGACCAATCAAGACCCTCCACGTGTCATCCACGTGGACCGACCAGAGTCCGCCACGTGTCACTCAGTGAAGAGTCCAAAGTGGACCAATTAGGGCACGACACGTGGCAGACAAATATCCAACTAGGAATGGCTGCCTTCAAAGCCCAAACTCCTAGGCAGCCCAATCAGTCCTAGGTTTCCGTAACCTAGGACTGGGCACGTACTTCGAGACCCTATAAAAGGGAGATGTTCCCACCTTGGGAACAACGATTCACAAAGCGTTCAGTGAGAGCATTAATTGCAGAATTAAACACACTTGAGAGTTTACACTCGGATATTGAGGCAGTTTGCTATAGTCGGATGATCATTCCTCTCTTAAGAGGAACCTGATCCCATTTACATTCCGTACTTTTTACATCCGAACACGTTCTAACTTGATCGTCGGAGGCGGAACTCCCACCAACCGGAGTCTCCGTTGTTTTGCAGGTACAGGCGCCCGAAATCCAGTCTTGGAATTGTAACTCTCCCGCTGGACACTGAAAACCCCGAAACAATGATCATGTAGGCTGGACTTGTGAAAGATGGATGGAATTTTGTTAGAGATAATCGAAAATATATTAATGTGATGTAATTTTAATATTGATAACATTAGGAATATAGTTCGATTATACTTCTTATACATTTTAATATGCAAATAATATCTTTATTATGATTAATTATGTAAAAAAAAAAAATGAATGAACGAAATAAGTGACGTATCTCAATGTCTTGTGCCAAATTGAGAATTGACATCTTTACAATCAAATCCATCTAATCATGCGTCCACGCTTTGATTCATTAGCAAAAATTACCATTAAGAATACAAGTATGTGTCATTTAAATTCATATAGTATGAATTACAGAGTACTAATTATATACTTTCAACTTAATATACGAATCAATCAATGATGTTACTTCAATTGATCCTTATATTCAGATTCAATACATAGTATAAATTTGCCGAAATTCTTAGAATAGCTTAATATTGTAGCTCTAAAAGTAGCTATAAATCTAAAATATTTTATTTGTGATTGAGTTCGTTAATGTAGCATGGAAGATTATCTCTAAAGCATTATTTGGATCATAGTTTGAGTTCGTTGGCATGGAATATAGTTTTTAAAATGTTTTGGATGAACTTATTACAAAGTTAGAAATGGAAAACATATTTATGTAAAGAATTTCCTAATAGCTAGTTTTTATGTTGGAAAATAAATTCGCAAAAAAAAAAATCATTAATTTCTGACAAGTGATTATGTTTATGTCTCAAGTGATTATGTTTTAGTGTGGTTAAATTAAAGGTGAGGTTAGTGAAAATTCCGGTGGGTTAGTTGGCTTGAATTTCCCCTTCAATCACCAAACTACTAGCAAAAAAACTTGATCACTAAAAGGTGAAAAAACTCAAAACTTAATCACCAAATGTGGGCTTAACTCATCGCTCTTCTTGGGAGGGTTTTTTTGGTTCCCTCTAGGGTTTCTCCTTTGGCAGGGTTTTTCTAGCCTCAATTGCTAGATTTTTTCTGCTTTTTTTTGAAGGTTTTCCTTCACTCTTCTCCTTTTCTCTCTTTCTCTTTCATCTCCTTTCTTCTAGTCTCTTTTTGTGAATCTTTGTAGGGGCTTTCACCGGTGATAAGCCCCAAAAAACTTTTAAATTGCTTTTAATAAATGGATCCCATCTTGGTAGTTATTCTATTAGGGTTGTTTTATTTTTATTTTTATTTATTTATTTTTTCTTCGTCTGCCAAAGATTGAAGATATAGAGTTTCATAATCTCCAGAAGTATTTAGATGACCATATGAGTATTTTTACTCAAACAACTATCCATCAGCGAATCTCAACCCGAATTAGTGCTAACTCACATATTGTATTGTTTTGGATGAAGTTTTATTTTTATTTTATTTATCAAGGTGATCGTTGATCGAGTCTGCGATGTAACTAGTTATATGGTGATTTGTACTTGTGTTGGAATTCTAAATTTTCTAGGAATTGTTTGTAATTGCCGTTTGGCTTTTTATCATTAATGATTTTTTTCCTTCTTGTTAAAAAAAATAAGGTAATGCTATATGTAGCCCCAAGGGCTATATATAAATATTAAATACACTCTTGAAAATGTATAAAATTAGGAATTTATGACAAAAATACGCGTAAGTCAGTGTAATTAGTGTTTATATTTTTATGATTTTTTAAAATTTACACGATTTTTCAGTCTGTATTTATTGCTTATGTATAACATTTTTCAAAAAAAAAATTGTGGGCTTAACTCGAGAAATTGGACAAGCAAAGAAATACCCATTGGTTAGCACCAGAGTTTGGATAATCTTAAAACTTAAAAGACAAGGCAAAATAAATCAAATTCAAATCCAATAAAAAAGCAAACCAAGGGGAACCAAAAACCTTAATTCCAATTTCCAACTCTTCCAAAGCCTTTTACAACGTAAAAAAAAAAAAAAAACAATCTCACTACTCTCAATCACGCTCTACTTTCCCTTCTTCTCCTTGTTCTCCTAACATTACGTCACCACGTGCCAAAGTATTAACACCAAACAAACTATTTTTAATATCTTCTTTCTCTCTCCTCTTTCAACTCACACCTTCCTTCTTCCCCTTCTCTCTCTAAAACCCCTCCTTTTCTTCTCCTCACTCTCTATTCCCTTACTCACTTTTTTGGTCTACCTATTTTCTTCTCCTCTTTAACACCCCCCTCCCAAAAAAAAAAAAAAAAAAAAATTATAAAAATGCGACGACAAAGAGAAGAGTACCAATCCAACTCGTTCCGATGAAACTCACCGAGTCAAACTCGTCGTCGATAATGGCGGCGAAACCTTCGTCAACATCAACAACATCTTCGTCAACATCTTCGCTACAACATCGTTCAGTACTCGCAATCGATCTCAACGAAGTTCCATCTCCTTCAGAAACCCTACCTTCTCCTTCGAGTTTTATTCTGTCTCCAACTTCGATTGTTCGCTCTATTCACGACAACCCTCCGTTGCCGGAGGGTCCTCCGGCGGAGATCCCGGAGGATGTGACGCCGTGCGCCGGTTGCGGCGGACCTTCGCCGGAGTTGGTTTCCGAGAGGTTGGTTTGTGATGGGTGTGAGCGTGGGTTTCATTTTAGTTGTACCGGGGTTTTGCCGGGTTCGGCGGTTGTGTGGGATGAGTGGGTTTGTAGGTTCTGTACTGCGGATGGGGTTGGGAGTAAGAGGTGGCGACTTGGGAGGAAGGAGGAGAGAGGGTTTAGGTTGCTTGATATGAATGCTTCGCCACCGAGTGATTGTGATGGCGAAGCTTTGGCTGCTGTCGATGCTGCCACTGCTGCCGCCGCTGCTGCTGCGGCTGGTTCTAGGTAATTTGTTGGGTTTATGCAGTTTTGAGGTGATATTATTGTCTTTATGTTTATTTGCATGTTATAATGTGAGCAGGAATGTTTTGTAATGTCACTTTTTTTGCCTGATGGAAATGCATGTTTTAGTTTATTGAATTTCTGAACGTGAGTTGCTGCATTTGCGATCAATGCCATTGTTATAATGTTTATGTGTGTGGAGGCGTGATCGGTGGGTCGAGCAAGCTAAGTTGTTATGATGAGATGTACATTAGGTGAATTTCTTTTTTGCTTTTAAGAAATTTGGGATGTTGTCTTGGTCGTCTTAGGGTTGCAAGTTTGTACATTAAAGACATTAGCATGAGCTGAGGATAGGGAGCGTACCATTCGTTGAACGACATTGCTAAAAGAATGAAATGCCAAAATGTGCGTTTAGGTTTTAATTGAACAAGATTTCTGTTGTTTCTTTAATTGAATGGGCCATGAACAACCTTAATGTGCAAAATTTTGGGGGTTCCAGATGTTTCGAGAATGTTGATTGATATTGTATGACAACTAGCTAATATTCATATATGTCAGGTTTGGGAAGTGTTTGTCTTTACCTTTTTTTTCAATGTAACTGCGATCTAAACTCAGAAGATTGATTTTGGCGAGTTTTTGGGGGTTGAGATGACCTCTTATTTAGTTATATCTTGGAAGATAGTAGTCTTTTTTTAAGTTTCTCGTACTCTAAGTGTCAGACACACCTTATGGATCATTTGCTGGATTTTTTTTCAAATGGAATTGTCCATCTATCAAACTCATGTCTGAAATTCGAGTATCGAGTATCGAGTATCTGACATGGATACTTGAGGTGGAATTAAGAGTCGGAGAAACATTGACTTTGTTTAAATTAACATTATACACAATTCTATAGGCATTCAACTTAGATTCTGCCTATGTAATTAGCTAGTAGCCAATTGATATAGCTAATTGTAAGTAGTTTGACTAGTTTGTTGTATTAGCCGGTTTGATTAGTTGATTGTCTGTAGAAGTGTTAGGTAAAAAAACAGTTAATTATTAATTATTTCAATATGTGTAATTTTCAAAAAGCTAAATTTTCTAAAAGCTATTTCAAAGAGTTCATATTGTCAGCTTTTTCAAAAAGAGTTTTTGGAGCCCAAAAAACTCTTTTAATAAGCTGTTTTCCAAACTCACGAATTACCTTTTTAGAATGTTCAAAACCTCTAATAGGCCCCAATATGCTAAAAGCTTTCCAAAAGTTTCTATCCCAAACAAGGCCTCTGTCTGCATTTGACTTAGATTCTGCAGGCATTCACCTTAAATCTGCTAATTAGAAGTAAATTTGTGCCTATTTCATGTCCTTTATGTGTCCGGTGTAAAGGTAGAGGGCAGATGGAATATATCGAATGCTGTATCTGGGTGTGTTTGCTGTCTATCTCAACTCTTAAGACATGCAGATTGAATATGTTTCTCTTGGGAGTTGGTAGTACCAGTGGGAGGAAGTGTGCTTAGAGAGTGGCATTCATTGATTTCTATTTTTATTGTGATTTGTGGCTTGAAAGAATTTTAGCTTATTCTACAGTTATAATGTATACATCATTACTATTGGAATATCAAGTTTTTAAGCCCTCCCTTAGGTAGCCAAAGATATATATGGACATCTTCCTATCAGACTTAAGGCATTTTTGGTTTGTAGTCTTATCCCATACTGATATATACTTGGATATTGGGCAAGGAAATTAAGATTCTCTAGGAATTGGTACTTATTAAATGTGCTTTCCCTGGCCTATTTTATTGTTTTACCTTCAAATTTTTTTGACAAGGGAGTCTTGAATCTTTGTTGACTGATTCGACTAGGAAATGTTTGATCCTTACAATGTCTAAGATGAATATATAATAATTAGTCATGAAAAGTTCCTCTTTCGTTCTCTCTCCCCCCCTCCCCCATTTTTTGGTGGGGTGGGGCGGGGGGGGGGGGAAGACGTGAGTCATTTGAACAAAAGTTGAGTTAACATCACATTAGCTGTTACATATGACAAGTATACTCTATTTAGCATGTTAAATCTTGATCCTTTCTTCTGACTATATCCCAGTTTAGCTAAAAAAATTCATTATTAATGAAAGCCAAGGTGCCTGGCTCATAGATCATGTTTTGGAAGTTAACTTCCGCACCTGGATATAGATATTAGTGTGCATTTTCAATTTTAATGCCATCCAAATGTCTAATGAGCGAATTATTTTTGGAAATGTCTGTCTCTTCACTTCAGTACTGATACCTTTTTTTTTTTTTTTTTTTTTTTAGAAATCTCTGTTTTGGCAATAGCACTATCAGCAGTTATGCACCTGGTGGCCTGCTGCCATATCCCCAATTCATCTATTCGGGTAATGGATTTGGCTTTCAGAAGACATCTACTATAGTAGCACATACTGTGAGATTGGATCCTCAAGATATTTCACATAACAATCGGTCTACAGCTAGAAGCTTCGAAGACATAAAATATGGTTCTCAGTTAGAACGAGTTAGGACTAGTGGCACAACATTTAGGTTACCATCTTGGAATTCAAGTGAAGTTTTGCAGTCTCTTAGAGATTTTGTTTCTGAAAGGCATGGTGTTCTAGAGGATGGTTGGCGTGTGGAATTTAAACAATCTAAGAATGGTTGTGAATCATATGCTGTTTACTGTGCACCAGACGGGAAGATGTTTGAAACCATGTCTGATGTTGCTAATTATCTTGGCTTATCATCTCATGGAACTCCTTTGGAGCTTGAAACAAGAAGTGATTATGGCTCTACATTACGAAGGAATGGGTTGCATACACCCAAAAGAAGGAAGTTAATGAAGATTCCAGTAGGCAATGGTTTTGTGGAGAACAAGGACAATTTGAAGAGTAATTATAGTAATAGTTTCTTTTTGAATTCGCAGAAAGACAAGTTCATGAGTATGCCTGAAAAAATTATAGAAGTTATGGATGCTGCACAAGAAGAAAATGGCATCACTGGCATCGAAGAAAATGTAAGTTGCTGGTCCTTATGGCATCATTTTGATACTTTATCTTGTTTTATAGTGCTTTTTGTGAGATGATTGTTTGCATCTCGGTTGTTTTAAGGTCACTCATATTTTGTTATGTTTGATTATGTTTTTAGGAAGGGCTCCCTCTCCAGTATGAAGATTTGTTTGTTCTTTCCTTGGGGAAAATTGATACAAGAACATCATACCATGATGCTGGTCAGATTTGGCCTGTAGGTTATAGGTCATGTTGGCACGATAAATTTACTGGCTCTCTTTTTCTTTGCCATGTATTGGATGGTGGTAATACAGGACCTGTTTTCAAGGTTAGAAGGTTTGCATGTTCTGCACTCCCCATTCCTTATGGGTCAACTGTTTTGCAGAGGAAAAGTGGTATCTGTTTGAATGGTCCAGGTAAAGAAGTTGGAGGGAAAACAATTCCCTTAGAAGAAGAATGCTGTATTGAGATGCTTCTCTCAGATCCTTGCTTCCCACCAGAAGATGATTCTTTGTCATGGCTTCTAAGTAGTCCAAATGAGGTTAATGGTCAGAAGGCTATCAGTTCAACACTTGAAGTCCATTCTACTTCGGAGAAGCCAGAAGATTACTTGGCTCATAATCTATCTACAGGTGAGAAGATTGGTGAATTTTCAGTAGATGGCCGCTCTTCATCTGTTGTTTGGAGCAATATATCCCAGAAACTTGTTGATGCTTGCCGCCAATCGTACAAGCAGATGGGCTCTCTGAAGTTCTTCTGCAAGCATGTTGAAGAGGGCATGTCATCTGTCTGTGATGTCATGACTTACAAGGACAAAGATGCATTTTCTTCATTGGATAAATTTTGTAGCTTGCTGGGCTCACTGAAGGTCCCATTGTTAGTAACAAGTGATGATGAACTTGATTCAACACTTGAAGCTCTAAAGAACTGGTTGAGTGTGGATCGGTTTGGATTGGATGTAGAATTTGTCCAGGAACTTATTGAGCAATCTCCTGATGTCCATCAATGCTCAAATTATGAAATTTTGAAGAGAAGAAATGATAATTTTACCACGCCATTGGTTTGTAATGGGCTGTTACTTGTCAACGGGAAGAACATAGAGCAGTGTAAACAAGACAAGGTATTTAATGGCCTGTACAAAAATTACAGGACAACTGAGGAGCTTGCTGGCACTGATCATATTCGTCCCCCTGGGAAGCATCTGGGTGCTAAGCTTCCACCTCAGCGAGTTGGAGATGTTCTTCAGGTTTGTCCCCTTATTATCTAGGTAGTTTGCTTTTTATTTTAGTTTTTTGGGTTTTGGTTTTGGCTATTATGAATCTATGCTTCATCCTCATTTTTGCTTCTCATAGGTGTGGGAGTTACTTCGCCGTTTTCATGAGATTCTGGGTTTGGAGCCTGTGAATTTTGATGAACTTGAGACAGAACTCATTAGCTCTTGGTTTGAGAGTTTGTCGCATCATGGATTTCGCGAAAGGGATTCTCTAGGTGATCATGCTGTAGATGGATCCAGTATCCTGAGTGAGCATACTTCCTCATCGAGTAGTGAAATTGCATGTCCTCCCGAAGAGAATACATTTATAGAAATGCAGTCCGCTGCTGTGAGGGAAGAGGTTCATGCCAGTCAAGTATCGTGTACTAACAGTAAGTGCGCTGGTGTTTCATTGAAGAGGGCCCACATCTCTTTGCTTGATGTGCTTGTGAGTGAGCTGCAGATAAAGGTTGCAGCAATGGTGGATCCAAGCATAGACACAGAGTCGAAGTCAAGGCGAGGTAGAAGAAGAGATGTTGACAGCTCAATTCTTGCAATTAGGCCAAAGCTTAATCTACTGCCTATCAATGAATTGACTTGGCCAGAATTGGCTCGGAGATATATTTTAGCTGTGCTGTCAATGGATGGGAATCTTGATTCGGCTGAAAATGTTATCCGTGAATGTGGAAAAGTCTTCCGTTGCTTACAGGGTGATGGAGGGGTCCTCTGTGGCTCTCTAGTTGGGGTTGCTGGAATTGAGGCTGATGCACTGGTAAAGATTATGCATATATCCCCTGTATTGGGTTGTTAGTTATCCAATTAAAGTTTCCTTGTTCTCTGATATTACTCTTTCTAGAATCTTTTAGTGTCAGTGTTTCTATCTGTCGAAATGAATCCAACTTCAGGATTTAGTATTGAAGAATGAGCTTGGTAATCATTATGTTAGTCTAGGTGATAGGTCACCACTTTGGCACTTCTTTTGATATTCTTCAGTCTCAATTCACGCAAAGGATCTACAGACCTGGACAATCCAATCAACCATAATTTGAACCTAACTTATCAGGGAGACATTTGTCTGGAGCTTCACTATGCTGCCAAATTTGCGTATACCAGGGGGTTTACCTGATGAAGGGTAGGGAGCAATAATGTGGCTAACTTACCCAGAAACTTGATTCAGATTTTCCCTTAAACACACCAATAAATGCAGCATGCAGATCAAGGTCAATTTATTGTATCTCTTTCATTAATGGTGGGCTAGATTTGTGTAATTGGGTAAGGGTAACCAGAGATTTCCTTGTTTGATTTGGACCACGTTGGGCAATTAGGTATTTGCGTCAAGTTCTTTCCTCTATGCAGCATTATAAATGAATTAACCTGGTTTATTGAGAATGAGATACTGAAATGTATGTTGTTTGTGGGATAAGTGGATAAATACTAAAGCTATGGTCGATGCTAAGCTGGACAATGTAGACAACAGTTAGAATTCTGCCGCTTTTTCCCATGGTTTGAAGTACGGTTTTGATTGATTACAGTAGCGGTGTCGTGGGAGTATACATGGATGCACTGATGAGTTTGTCATGATGAGAAATTGAATTCAAAGTCTTTTTAGGATTTTAGTAGCTGTATGCTATTATTCCCTCTTTCTCTATTTAGGTAACATGGTTTGACCGATAAAGGGTTCCCGGCATATTAATTGATTTAGTATTGTATGTGAAAGTTGGTGGTGGGGCAATTTCTTATAATAGTTAGTGGGTTGTGGGAACAATTACTTTGTGTTTTTTGGGTGAGAGGTTGTGATTTTTTATTTGCTTTCAGAAGTACACATAAAATTAGGACCCGTAACATGTGAGAGATTTAATTGTGATTTAATGGGGCCATACCATATTATGAAATGGATAGAAGTGTGTCTATTCAACAGGGACGACCTTATAAGGAAAGTGTATCAACTAGAAATAGGAATAGGGAGAGAGATATATGGAAAAAGTAGAATTTTAGAGGATTAGAGCCATTAGTGGGGAGACATGGGGAATCTTTCAATATAATGTTTAAAGCCCAATTAGTGGAGAGTCATTTTTGAGTGAAGCACGGGATGTAACGTTTTATGCTAATATTCTGAAACATCCACGGTTGATATAGACGATTTCGATCAATTGATATCTTTTTTCTCATTCTTTTCCTTTTGCAAGTCTTTTGATAGCATGGAAACTTGTTACCTACCTAATTTTTACAAGCAGAAGACTATCACATATTATTAGAAAGCTAATATTTTGGTTCAAAATAGGAGAGCAAGTAGAAAAGACTTAGGGGTTGTTTGGTTAGATCATTTGGAAGGGTTGGAATGGAGTTAGAATCCATTCCATCTAGTTTTTTGTTTGGTTGAGGTTTTTAGTAATGGAATCTCATACCCAAGGGGTTCTAACTCTCCCCATAACCATGGAATCCCATACTCACCCCTTCCCCTAAGATTCATAATCCATACCAATCCATTCCAACTTGATGAACCAAACACCCCCTTAATTCTGAAACTTAAGGATATGTCACTAAAGAAAGCAGTATTCTATTCTAGAGCAAATAATTGACTTTTGATATGATGCTCTGCAAATTTAAACAAGAGTGCAACAGCAAACTAGAAATCCAATCATCTGTGTTTAGTTATGAGCAGAGGACAGGAAAAAGAGATACCTGTTATAAGGCATGATATATAGTCCAAAAGAAGAAGGAATATTTCAAGCAATATGTAGCAAGCTGCAGCTAAAAGCAACCCAAGAGCTATTTGGGGAAGATCAGCTCTACAATAAATTTCATCATGCGAGAACAAAGAGCACACCCAGCAATAATTTATAAGTCATAGGTGATGATGATAGGTTGGCTCTATGAAATAGTAATGGGTTCTTGTGATGCAAGTAGTTCTTATGATTGACAAAGTAGTGGTTGCAGAAGAGTATCTTCAATGTGTACTAAACCATCAAAAGGTTAGTTATAGAAGATGTTACCTTATCTTAGGACTCTTATTACCAAATGCCACATAAGTTTGATTAGCATCCTTATAGCTTTTTTTTTTTTTATCAAGCAAGATATAAGGTTTCTTTTGAATCTTTAAGTTGAACACTGTAATCGCCTTGCTTTCTGATGGAATAATCTTTATCTGTCATGTATGTGTTTGTAGTAAATATGCTTGTATAGATAATATATCCTGGAAATATGTTTTGTCATCCATTTGTGATTACTCTTTGATCCTTTTCTCATATACTTTTAAATTTCAAACTGATTTTGTTTTCGAAGTTCCTCCTGTGTGTGTGTGTATTGTAATTAGCATGGCATAGAAATAATTTATTTTTGCATTAACATAATTGATTCTCAGCTACTTGCAGAAGCCAGAAGGCGGATTTATGGATGTCTAAGCAGTGAAAATGATAGTCTGACCATAGAGGATGATGATCTGGAACCAGTTGGTACTTCTGAAGGGATGGGTAATGGTGATGGAATCATTCCAGATTGGGCTCAGGCCCTAGAACCTGTAAAGAAATTGCCAACTAATGTAGGTACAAGAATCAGAAAGTGTGTTTATGAGGCTTTGAATAAGGATCCACCCGCTTGGGCAAAAAAGACCCTGCAGCACTCTATTAGCAAGGAAGTTTACAAGGGCAACGCTTCTGGACCAACTAAGGTGGTATTCCTGAACTTATTATCATCATGCCTTTAAAACCGCAGATTTCCTTGCGGGTTTGCTTTTTTTTGAAATTTTTTAGTTTGCTCTTCCTTTTTTAAATTTTTCTCCTGATTACTGGATTGGCAAGGATTGTAACTTTTTCTTTTTGTTTATATGTAAGCGTTTTTGGCTTCTCAATGGAGTCCTGAATGTGTTCTTTTGTTTCTAATGATTATTTTTTGGGTTTGGGAGGATGAGAAAGGGATTGGGGGGAGGGTGGTGTTGTTGCAGCATCGTGTGGAAGCCTTACGAAAAGGCTTTGACTCATTAATAGCTGGCCCCTTGGAATTTCCTCTTCTGTCTGTATATGTTTAAATTTCATCTCTATGTAAGCGTTGGTCCTTGGTATTTCCACAACATTTTGGACACTAACATGCCAAAAATGTTCATGAAATGTCCCAAAACACCAGGGTAGAGCTCAATATATTTTGTACTGACAAATGGTATGGGGTTTTGAAATGATCATGACAGATATGAAACATAGAGTTGATGTATTTTGACATATTGAAAAATATTGGACCCCAAGTTGCCAACGTGTGCGGAAAGTCCCAAAAAGGCTTGGTGGCTTTTGTTCATTTGGTGCACGTATGACGAGCAGAAATTTGAAGAGTGTTACAAGAGTAGAAATTTGTTCTTTTGTTTTGTTTTGGGTGCAAAATGTGTGTAGTGGTGTTATTTCTGATGTCTAAGTTTCTTAGTTTTTTGCAATCCTTTTAGGTTTTAGAATAGTGAACGTTGATTTCAACTACGGATCGGTTCAGATCCCCAGGTTGCTCTGTTGTCAAATTTTTCTGCTGTTTTTGTTGCTTTATAAAATGCATCTAGAATGTTCCTTGTGCTAAGTGTGCATTTATTCATTTATACTATCTTGTATAATATTGTACTTGCTTATTGATGCAACTATCTTGTATAATATTGTACTTGCTTATTGATGCAGAAAGCTGTCCTCTCAGTGCTGGCAGACGTTCTCAGTGAAAGCTCACAACAAAAAGCTCGCATGGAAAGAAAAAAGAGGACAATTGTTTCCATATCTGACACTATTATGCGGAAATGTCGAATACTTCTGCGTCGTGCTGCTTCTGCTGACGAGGATAAAGTATTTTGCAATTTGGTAGGGAGAAATTTGATCCATTCTTCTGAAAATGATGATGAAGGAATGCTTGGTTCACCTGGGATGGTGCCTCGCCCACTAGATTTTCGGACAATTGACTTGAGGTTGGCATTTGGAGCCTATAGTGGATCACCTGAAGCCTTTCTTGAAGATGTTCAGGAGGTAATCTTCTTCATATTGTTTAAATACACACTGAATCTTGTAATACTTGTTGCTTCTCTCTTGCTGATGAGCTTATATGATGTCAAATTTTCTAACGTATTTTTTAACTAAGAAAATTAATTGTCTGCCAAAGACAGTGATTGTTAGGCTAATTGATTGACCTTAGAATTCATAAGCCTCATGATAGTATACTTATAGTAAGCTAACCCAGTTCTGTGATTTATGTAATGCATTTCTGAGCACATCACCAAATCTTTGGTTGTAAAGTCATGTGATTTTTGTGCTTTTGTAATATAATTGTCTGCATGACACTTTTTAAAATTTGTAATCTTTAACGTTAATCAATATAACTTTATAAAAAATGTAACCTGTTATTTACAATGATGTAATTCTGGGTTTCTTTAATAAATTAGAATTACAGTAAGCAATGAATTGACAACACTGTTACATTTTTTTAGAGAAATCACTTTTTTATTTTGATTTACTCAATCAAAGCCATGAACTTGCAAGGATAATTTCTTTTACTGGCTGTTCCCGTCTATGATTCTCCTTTTCCATATCAAGCATTTTGCTTGCTTTTGCACCCCTCTTGCATGTCTGCTTTGGGAAATGGGAATATTAGTAGGTTTAGAATGAAGATGAAATTAAGCATCAAGTTTCTGTCTATGAATGGACTTTCTCTTGTGGAAATATGTATCAGCCTTTGCTTCTAGACTTCATGTCTGACTGCTTTTGAGTCCTTTTTCTATGACCAACACTTTCTGGTATCAAACTTGGTGAAAAGTAACTTTGGTCTCAGGAAATGTGTGATTGTTGGAGTAGGTGAGTAGCAACTTTTAGGCAGAGAAGTGTATCAATATTATGTTGCTGACTGTTTGCTCGCTAAATTTATTGTCATCTTGCTTTACCGGCCTTTCCTTGCCCTCCCTACATGCAAATTTTATCAACGTTTTTCTTTAATCTTAACAATTTGTGAAATTATTTATAACATTTTTCATGAAGGATGAGGCTAATTTTAATGAAATTTCTTATCCATAATATTAAATTGGCATGTTTTGAAAATAGTTTGTTTGAAGCAGAAATGTAAAATGGATAACATTCTGTTACTGGAAGTGAATTTGAGATGGTTTAAATTCTTTACATTATGGCTTTCAGGCTTGATTTATTCAGATGCAATGAATTAGAAATTGTGGATCTGAAATATGTTTCCTGAGTAGATTGCTGTTAATTTGTTCAAAGCTCAATAATCCGGGACATTCTAAGTGCTCTGAAATTTATGTGACGACCACTTGTTTATGGGGGCTTTCCCTGCTTGATTTTTTCTCATGAAGTGTCATGGGATAATGTAGTATTCTTGGTTTCCTTTGATATCTTTTTATCTTGGGAGTTTTGTGGAAATGTTTCTGCATATTTTCATCACGGTGACACCACTGTCTCTTTGGTCTTTTACTCCATTTGACTATTTTTCTCTTGTTCTGTAAAGGCTATTTTGATAATTAGTGAATTTTTTATTTGTTATTTGTAAAATTTATCAAGAATAATCCAACCTTTGCCTCATTCTCCCAAAATAATCCAACCTTTGAATTAACCCTGAATAATCCTAAGTTTACCTATTAATCTATTATTGTCTCCCAGCAAACCTAACCGGCTGAATAAGTCAACATTTGTTTTTTTTTTTTTTAAATTTTTTTTTTCCTTTTTTTTTTCTTCCCCTATTCTCTCCTCCTTCCTTCTTAATTCCAAGACTTCTAACTGACATCAATGTAGGATGGCTAACCCACCATCCCTTAAACACCACCACCACACAACAACCCCACCCAACAACCTCCACCCAGCTACCCGCTCATCCTCCCCGGCTTGTTGCCGCTCCCACCACCGACTACCAGTGACACACCACTCCCTTTCCCCGCCTTCACGCAGCCCCTTGCCCTTTCCCACCCCTAAAACCACCGTTACCTCCCACCGTACTCTTACCCCCAAAACCACCACTCTCTCCCAACCCCCCCCCCCCCCCCCCCCCCCCCCCCCCCCCCCCCCCCCCCCCCCCCCCCCCCCCCGAAACCACCACTCCTCCATTTCTCAAAACCTTACATCCTCATCTCTCTCTCAACTTAATTTCTCTCTCCCCCTTGAAACAACCACCACTAGCCCATTGTCAACCCTCGTCAGTTTGGGGTTTTAACTTTGTGGGTGATTTGGAGTGTGTGTGGTGGTGGTTCGTGGTAAAGGAGTGGTGAGATTCGTGGGAAGTGGTAAGTGGTGGCTGGTTCGTGAGTGGTTTGCAGTGGTTCGTGGTGATGGTGGTTTGTGATTCATGGTGGTGGTGATATCATGTTGGTGTGAGCTATTGTTGGTGGGTTAGTGCGAGGGAAGGTGAGGTGGTTATTGAGGAAGACCATAGAGGTAGAGGAGAGAGAAAGAAGCAGCAGAAAGGGGAAAAGAGAGGAAGAGGTGGATTTTTTTTTTTTTTTTTAAAAAATTAAATAATTTTTTCTAAATAAAAAAATGGCCAAATTAGAAAATAACACCCAATAAAAACCCCGATTTTGATAATAACACCTGTAAATTTTTTTTTTTATTATTACACCACCAAAAATCCCAAAATTTTGGTTTCACCACCCACTAACGGATTTTTGGATGGAAACCGTTAGTGGGGTCCACTAGGGACACGTGTCAATAAGGTATTGGCTTAAAAAAAAGATAAATAAAAAAAAAAGTAAAATTAAAAAAAAAAAGAAAAACCCCTGAACCCTAACCTAGCTACCAGCCCCACCACCGGCGGCCGTCACTCCACTGCCAGAGACCCCCAATGCCGCCGGAACACCTTCCTTCACCGGCGCAACATCACCACCACCGTCGCCCCATCACCACAGCAACAACCCTATCACCAGCCCCAACCCACTAGCCGAAGAAAACCACGCCCAATTCCACCCCAGTGCTAGATCCAGTTGCGACCTCACCCCTTGCTAGCGACGCGAAACCACGAACCTTAAACCAGCGAAAAGGATTGTTGGTGGCTGGTGTGGTTTCGACGGAGATTGGGAAAAAGAGGTGGTTGTGGCGACTTTTCCTTTTCGTCGGTGTAGGGATCGTGGTTTCGACGGTAAAGGAGGGGCTGTGGTGGGTGGGGTTGTTGGCCAGTGATTTCGCCGGTGAAGGAAAGGGTTCTGGCGGCATTGGGGGTCTCCGGCGGTGGAGTCATGGCCGCCGGTGGCTGGGTTAGGGTTTAAAGGTTTTTCTCTTTTTTTTTTTTTAAACCAATAAACAACTGACACGTGTCCCTAGTGGGCCCCACTAACGGTTTCCATCCAAAAATCCGTTAGTGGGTGGTGAAACCAAAATTTTGGGATTTTTGGTGGTGTTATAATAAAACTATTTTTTTGACAGGTGTTATTATCAAAATCGGGGTTTTTATTGGGTGTTATTTTCTAATTTTGCCTAAAAAAATATTAACCAATAAATACTTGACAAGTGGATTGGTAACCGGTGATAATAGGTGGGATGACCTGTTGGGGTTGCTAGGAGAAAATAATAGGTAAACTTAGGATTATTCAAGGTTAACCGAAAGGTTGGATTATTTTGGGAGAACGAGGGAAAGGTTGGATTATTTCTTTTGAAATTTTCCTTGTTATTTTTGTAAATTTATTTATTTTAATTTTTATATTTGGTTTCTGATGGACAGTATCTTTGGTTCTACCTAGTGTGCCTTTTAACATTTGAAGATAGCTGAGCAAAATTATAGATTTATTGTTTGCTGACCATGTTCAATCATTTTGGCAGTTGTATAAAAATATACGAATCGCCCACATAGAGCAGCCAGAGCTGGTTCAATTGGCAGAATCATTGTCCGAGAGTTTTGAGACGCTTTATGAGGAAGAGGTTTGCAAAATCTTGTACTCTTCCCGGCAGCCTTAATCTTTGTTTATTGTTATTTATATTTTAGGGCCCATTTAATACAGTTAACAAATAGAAAGGGAAACTGACTAAATGGTTTCATTAATATGAGGCAAAGAAAATTATTAGCATAGGCCATAGGGGATAGAAGAATGTCACATTTCCCAACTTATGCCACACAATTCCCTCACCACTTGTTGAATATCTCCTCCATTCATCACTCAACTTCAGCTTTACTCCTTTCTAAGTGTTGCCTTTATAGGCACATTAGATGTTTAAAATTAATGAACCATGGTTCCTTGTCTAAATTTGTAGTTTTCTTATTGACCATCAGAAGTTTGGGTCATACCGTGATTGACATTACTTCCTTTGTTTCACCTGACATGCACCATTTTTGTCTTTTTAGTTTTTACTGTATTCATATACTAACTTTGACTATGCTTATTACTAATATGTAAAATATGTCATTATATTAACTATTGTTTGTTTAATCTTACTGTATTTATTACATTTGGTTTTTTTAGTTGGCACGTTTTGACTTTAACACTATTCATACACTTCTCTTTGATAGGGTTTTGTGATTGATAGTAATGAAAGATATAGTAATGTGAGATCTTGTTAGATTTTTCATGTTATATATTTTCAACATATCAACATTTTATAATTTTTACTTATCAGTAATTAAAGATACTAATGGTTGAATTTATGCATTGGCAAATGTGAGTAAAGAAACGTGAAAAATAAAAAGAAACGGAGGAAGTATATTTAGGCCTTGCTCACTTCACCTTAAAAAAAAAATTATATCCAATAAAATACTTTCACTTCAGTAAAAATAATTTCAGTTTAGCAAAAATTAGTAAATATAAAGAGGATATATAATAGAGAATTAGTAAAAGTAATTTCAATTCAGTAAAATTAATTTCAGTTTAGTAAATTATTTCAAGTCAATAAAAGTAAAAAAAAATATTACAATTTTTAATACACCAAGTACCCCACGTATATGCTATTGTATTAAAGTCACTTAAACTACCTAAAACTAGGTCCAAAGTGTAACACATAAAAAAAAACGGATTTTTTTTGTTTATTTTTATATAAAAGGTGATCAATGCTCCAAGCTGTATTGTTGGCAAAAGTTAAAATGGTGCATTTATTCTGAAATTGAGGAAGTGTATATTCAACAAACATACCAGGTAGGTTTTTATTCTGTGTATCATTCTCTCTCTCATCGGCCATGAGTTCTATTGTGCCTTTGTTGTGGAGCTTTTCTTATACATGGTCAAATTTGAGGTTAGATTAATTGGGATGGTGTGCTTTGGCAGTTGTAATTAGTGATGGTGTATTGATGCTTATTTATGGTAATGTCTGTTTAGTATTGGTGGTTTTGGGTGGTATTTAGGGCAGTCAGTGGTAGGTAAAGTGAATATCGTGGGGGGTGTATTGATGCTTATTGATGGGAATGTCTGTTTAGGTTTGGTGGTTTTGGGTGGTATACAGGGCAGTGGTAGGTAAAGTGATTATAGTGGTGGCTGCAGCGGTAGTAGATTGGATGTTCAATAAGATGAAGGTGAGTACAAGTTAGTAGGAGGGTGACAGGGTGGTGCTATTAGAGTGGTGGATCTGGTTGTTATAGTAGTAGTTGGTAGTGTGGTAGATTCCGGGTAGTTACTAGAACATCGTCTCATGATTCTTTTGCATGTGGGATACAAATTTTTTGGGGAGGATGGGTAAGGGATAAGGGAGTTGCAACATCACTTCTTGGGGTAAAATTATCACCACAAGGGTATAATAGAATGAATAAAAATAGCTTAATTGAATTTGTAGTGGGAAAAAAGAGATCTTTGGTTTCTTTCCTCAATCTTATCAGTCCTGTTTTATTTTTTCCCTTTATTAGGCACTCTGCTGGTCAATGAGTTGTTGATACTGGTCTTGTCTTTGCTGATTTTGGGGTTTTTGCAGGTTGTTTCTCTTGTTAGCAAACTTAAAGAGTATTCAGAAATGGAACAGATAAGTACTGAAGCAAAGAAGGAGATTGAAGATGTATATGCCTCCACGAGAGATATTCCTAAAGCCCCATGGGATGAGGGTGTCTGCAAAGTCTGTGGCATTGATAAAGATGATGATAGTGTTCTTCTATGTGATACTTGTGATGCTGAGTATCATACTTACTGCCTGAATCCTCCTCTTGCTAGAATCCCCGAAGGTAACTGGTATTGCCCCTCTTGTGTTTCTGGGTTAAGTATGTTAGGGAGAACCTCTAAAGGTGTTCAGTTAATTGGCCAACGACATCGGAGAAAGAATTACGGAGATGGGATACGTAATTTCTTGGAGGAGCTTACTCAATTAGCTACTGTAATGGAACATAAGGAGTATTGGGACTTCAGTGTAGACGAGGTTAGTTGTCAACACATTTTTATTCTTTCTAATTTTTAGTAAATTTCAAGCAATGGAGATGGAAAGTTCTTGTCTGGTTAGCCAAATGGGTAAGCCCCTCTAAAGAACTTGCTCTCTTGTTTGATTTATTAATCTGGTCTGATGTTATACTTCTTATTTCCCTATTTGCTTAGCAAAGTACACTTTTCAATTAAAAAAATAAAAAGGAAGACATTGTGTACATGCCACATGTTTTTAAGATAATACTATATTATACTAATGTCATCCTACTATTGTTGATTCTTAGACTTACGACAATGCAAAATATACTCACCTTGATTATCTCTGCCGTGTATGGATTTTAAATTCATTTGTAGTGGTGCATGTGGGGTAAGGTGGAAAAAACTTTGTTAAAAGCTAAAGTAACAAACAAAATAATGGATGTAAACGGTAAACATAACTATTAGAAGGGAGTAGAAGTAGTCTATGGGTAGCATACTGATTTACAGGAAATAAATAAAAAGAAAAATGGGGAAGGAAGAATGAATGTGTATGGAGGCCTGTAGAAGTTTCTTGGTTGTTGTCTTGTTAATCATATTGCAAGTCTCCTCCAACTGATAATCACAAAGATGAATTGCAATGCACAACGGAAAATAGTAGCTCCCTCCCTCTTTCCATTTATCATATAAGGAGTTGAGTAAGGACATATTTTAATTATCTTCAATTTGTTATTGTAATAATACGTAAGGTGAAAATTTAGCTGATGTTTGTTTTGGTAAATCTTCTATTTTTCTTTCTTTTGTGCTTTTGGTTGGAAGAAAGAATGTACTTGGATTGGTTAACAAGATGTCAGACAATCCAGAAGATCAAGTGAACAGCTTATGTTAGCGAGATACTTCTGCGTCTATATATCAAAGTGAGCAGTTGCTACGTTTAATAATTTTGTGGGACCTGCAATCTGGGAGTTTTAACTAATGTAATTACAATGTTATTGCTAAATGCCTAAAGGTGCAGAAAGAGGTTGCTTTCAATGGGGTGTGGGGTTGGGAAACCTTGGTATCATGTTTGAAGAATTCTTTTGCAAAGTTGATATTCTAAGAAGAGATAAATTTTAAGTAAAATATCCTTGATGCATGAATAGGGATTAATTATATGCGTTTTTATTTGCTATATGTAGCTGGTAACCTGGTATCATTTTAGTTGGATGGTATTTCAAATCATTAGCTTAGTAAATTTTCTATTGTGAATTCTTTATATGCTGATCTGGTTAATTGGCTATTGTTAATTGCATGTAGCTGTATGCTTTAGGTCACATAATTACTTTGTGGTGGCTGAAACTGAGTAATTCTGAATTTTATTCTGACAAACATTGCCATTTTTGGTGCAGAGAATTTTGCTACTTAAGTTTATGTGTGATGAGGTGCTTAATTCAATTTTAGTCCGTCAACACCTAGAGCAATGTTTTGAAACGTCTGCCGATCTGCAGCAGAAGCTGCGGATGCTATATTCTGAGCTGAAGAATCTCAAGTTACGGGAAGATGTACTGGCTACCACAGCTGCAAAACTCGTGTCTAGTGTCCCAGTTGTGACAGGAGATGCTACTACTGAGGGAAATATTGCCCCAATAGCAAACCCTAGCAATTCCACAGAGCTTCAGAATTCTGTAACTGAAAGAAGTGAATGCATTTCTTCTTTCTCTGATAATGCTCCTCAGGCTAAAAGGGATACGGGTGCTTTGCATTCCAACAGTCATAGGAGACATGAAAATGTTAATTACTTAGAGAAAATTAGTTCTAGTGACAGTCAAGTTAAGAAGCCAGTAGATTCTATGTGTCAAGTGAAAGATCTTGTGGAGATTGTGAATGAAGATAGTGCCTCTGTTGAAAATCATGACCCTCACGAGCGATCATCCAAACGTCATAAAAGCGAACCATTACAGGATTGCTCTGTTTCTAATGCTGCTCTGCCTGAAACTAGTGGAATGGATATTGAATCTTCTTGCCATGGTAGAGCACATGAACACAGCATGCCAGGAGTCTCTGTTGTGTGCAGATCTGAAGATATACCAGGAGTTTCTATTTCTTCGGGTCGTGTGAACTCTGAGACGACTGAAAATGTCTCTTGCTCTACTTCAAATGAGTTGCAAGCTTCCAATTTGGAGCTGAATTCTGTGCAGAAGGAGCTGTCTGTCCTTCAGCAGTCAATTGCAGATGCAGAATCACAACTTTTGAAGTCTTCTGTGCGCATGGAGTTTCTGGGTAGTGACTCTTCTGGTCGATTGTATTGGGCCTCAGCCCAGCATGGTGCACGTCCTTGGATTATTGTTGATGGTACTTTGGCCTTGCAACCTAAAGCACAACATGTGGGTCAGGCAAAGAGGTGTGAGGGTTTCTTTTTTGAAAATATATCTCCCTCTGTATCTGATAGCCATTTGAGTTTTGAGGGTTCTAGTGCAGCTTGTCCATTTGTTTATCGGCATGATTGTTCTCGCCCAACCTGCACACAATGGGTCTATTATCAATCTGAGGAGGAGGTCAAAAATTTAGTCAAGTCATTTCAACTTAACAACCCAAAAGAAAGAGAACTGAAGGACTCTATTCTAAATTGGCAAAAGTTGAGATGTCATGACTGGCATCAAACTAGAAAACAAGATAAGATCTCTCTGTCCATGTCAATACCTGCAGAAGAGAATGATATGCCTGGTCTTCTAGTCACGAGAGCAGACACTCTTCTTGAGCGTAGCTATGGACCTTTTTGTCAGGCAGATAAGATGGAAGATGTAAAGATACGACTCAGGCGGTCAAGAGAGACCAGTGATGAAAAATTGTATAGATGTAGATGTCTTGAACCCATATGGCTTTCCAGACACCATTGTCTCTCTTGCCATAGAACCTTTTACACCTCGGAGGAACTTGACAATCATAACAATGGCAACTGCAGATCTAGTTTAACAGTTCTTGGGAAGAGAAAAGATAGCGATGAACATGTTGGGGGAAGGATCATGAGAAAACATGAAGCTCAACAGCATTTTGCCATGGTAACTGATAGAGTTCCAACATCTAAACCTGTAGATTCTGATCTGTCAAAATACTTTAAATTTCGAAATGAGGGTTTAAATTGTCCTCACAAATTGGAAGAAGTTAGTTCAAAATTTGTCACAAATGACTCCATCAAAGAATTAGTGCGTGGAATAGGATTAATTGGTTCTGAAGGAACACCGTCTTTTGTGTCAGCTATGTCTCCTTATTTGAGCAATCCAACATTGAGGTTTGTAGTATCGAAACAGGATATTTCTGCAGATGTTGATCAAAGCATGGTCCCTGAACAGGCAGTTGGCCAAAGTGACCAGTTTCCAGGTAAAAGCTGCACTGGTAATGTGGTTGATCCTGGCAGTCAAACGTTTATACCAAACAAACATGATGAGATTTCGGAAACTGGCTTGTTACAACCAAGAATCTCTCGTGAAAGATCAATGAAATTTCCAGCAAGTAATATTGCATCCTCTACCTCGACAGATACGTATTGTACTGTACCAGAGTCTTCATTGAAGCCTGTAGTTGGTAGAGATGCTCAAATTCTGAGACAACTTAAAATTTGCTTACTTGACATGGAAGCTGTGCTGCCTGAAGAAGCAATTAGACCATCAAAGGTTCATCCAGATAGAAGAAGAGCCTGGCATGCCTTTGTAAAGGCAGCAGAAACTATATTTGAGGTATGATCCGGGTTTAAATGTCATTTTGGAAGTGTCGTGGACAGAATAGAATTGCTATGACTTCAGTAGAACTGTGAATGTCATAATGCCATCGTCCTACATATTGTCACCTTTTTTTTTGTCATAATATTGAGATAGTAGTAGCGATAAAAAATTCAATATTTATGTCACAGAGACGAGTTGATGAGTAGAGATTCCGGGTGCATGGTGCACGGTGCACCCATGAGTATTTTGTTCTCAGTTTGATGAGTTTTTTTCATTTAATCATCAAATGAAGAGCAAAAACTAACTTTGGGTTAGTTGGGTGCACGGTGCACCCGGGTTTATATGAAAAATTTCAGTTGATGAGAGAGAACTTACCTAGGCATCTGTCATTTTTTATTCCCGTGATGAAAGTATATAGGATTCCTATGCTCATTCAGTGATATTTTTTTTGCACATTAATCCTTCTCATTTCATTTTAAGAATCTCATCATTGAAACCAGGCATCTGTCATTTTTTTATTCCCGTGATGAAAGTATATAGGATTCCTATGCTCATTCAGTGATATTTTTTTTTTTTTTCACATTTATCCTTCTCATTTCATTTTAAGAATCTCATCATTGGATCCCAACCCTATATGTATACAAATACATTTTTTTTTTTAACCGAAGATATTAATGTGTTTTGGATAACTTTTTCAGATGGTCCAGGCGTCGATTGTACTTGAAGACATGATTAAGACAGAGTACTTGAAAAATGAACGATGGTATTGGTCGTCGCTATCTGCAGCTGCAAAAACTTCTACTTTGTCGTCACTTGCGCTGCGTATATATGCCTTGGACAATGCCATTATTTATGAGAGAAATGTATCTGATCTAACAGTGGCTGACAGTTTGAAGCCCAGTGCTGATGTAGATCAGCAATCACCCTCTAATTTGGACTCATCAGAGAAACCCAAGCAGGGCAGGAGATCTAGTAGGAGGAAGAGGGATGCTGAGGGTTGACAGGGGTTAAGATGTATGCTTGCTTGGCATAAATTTTCCATTGAATTTGGATCCCAGTTGAAGTGGGTGGCAGCAATTTTATTGCGAGATGATTATCTTCCCTGACCATGTTTGTTTCTGGTCATAAGGGTTACAACAAAAACTGAACACCATAATATGGAGCCTCAAGGCATCTGTATTTGCTGCTCATCGCTGAAGGTCTGAAGGGATTCAAGGCTGACATGCTAACTTGGATTCTAGGGGAAAGAACTAAGTTTCGCACAGAGACAGGTGAAGTGTAATTTTCGACTATCGCTGCAGCTTCTTGATTTTAGTTTCTTTGGTGGGAATGGGTACCTTTTTTTCAAGGTACCTTTTTATTGAGCTAAATTGATATGTAAATCAGAAAATGATGTAAAGATAGTGTAGGAATAGAAATGTATAAATAACAGTCTTTAGCAGAGTTAGTCAATTGTTCATTTTTTCACAGCCTTTTTGGCTTCAACTTACCATCTTCACCGTGTTAGCTCTAATTTTCACTAGTTTATATCCGTTCTCATTCGACAATGCTTATTTTGAGAGAAATCATTAGAGGGTCTATGTATAAAGATTTGGATAGCAATATGATAAGATCAACCACAATCTTAAATTAAATCGAATTTGAAGTCTAAAATGGAAGACGGGCAAAAACAACACTGGAATTTCAATGTGTTCTTTATTTCAGATACATGCTGTTACGCTGCTGCAATCTATAGTTGATTCTTTATCTTTCGTTTTTGATCTGATGCAATAACCCTCAGGGCAACAGGGCAGGTACGCCAAATTGCTACTCATACAATTATTACATGTAGATAAAATCTAAAACATATTGAACTTGACAAAGCCTTTGAATTATACCAATATTAGATTAGTCTGGTATTGTAAGCCTTTGAATTAGCTTCCAATACCAATACAAAAAAAAATACCAATACAAAGCGTGTCTATGGGCACTCCATATGGGTATTCAAAAAGGTTACAGTCGGATTCTCAGGTACATTGATTGTTCTACCTTGTTGTTTGGTTTGGGATTTGTTCTCATTTCTTCGAGGTGGTTATTATGTGATATCCGGTCTGCTCTTTTGAGTCTTTTTGAGTGCAGAATTAGAAACGTCCCTCGTTCTTGGATTACCCCGCCTCATTGGTTGGCCACAAAAGCCCAACGGCGTAAGCTTTTGTATTTTTCTTTTTGACTGGTTTTGTTTTTTAGTTCTTCTTGTCAAAGAAAAAAAAAAAGATTAGTTTTCTAAGCTTACTAGATATTTAACATATGGCACTGCCTCAAAGGCCCTTTAAGGCTTCAACCCGACCAACTCTCGTTTCTGTGCTGCTTGAAAACGGAAGTATGGTCTTTCTGAGAAGAGGAGCATGTCTACTTTGAAAACTTTCTCGAAGGAGCATAATCCACCGCTATAAGTCTATCTGATACTTCAATTTCCTGCGTATTGATTCATCAATACCAGTTGAACGGGAAATGCTTGCTTCTATTCTTTCCCTTCGAGCGATGAACCGTGATTGTCTAGCTGTATGAAATTATTGGGGAGTAAAAGGACATGCTTCACAAAAATTAATTGAATAGAGTTTTGACCAATACCTGAATTTAGTCAATACTTGAATTTTTGGTGTTCTCTTACCAAATTACCTAAACCTTAGCTTGTCTTCCTTAGGTTAGACACAACATAGATCTAAATCATTTCTTACCTTATATCGTAATCTTTAAACACGTTATGTTATGTTATGTTATGTTTTAATGATGACATTTAAATAGTAAAACATTTTAATGTACTCAATGTTTATTTTGTAGGCCCTAGACCACTCAATTTTAGCTATTCTAGGGTGAAGAAGCACTGAAGCGTATAACTATTACTCATACAGTCATACCCTTTTACCCTCCAAACTATTTTACTTCTTTCAATTAGAGCCCAAAAATAGCTTAATCATGAGAATTTTTGCACTAAACCACTTAATTAGCCTAGAGCGCAAATATAACCTAACCATTAGTCTCCTTTAGTTTTTTTATAGTGTAGTTCTCATAACCTTTTACCCTCCAAACCATTTTACTCTTCAACGGATCTTCAACTGTTTGTGTGCATATCAACATGCAGTACACTGGTGCAAACTGCCCTAATATGCACATTTAAAAACCCATAATGTGTAGGTGTTGAGCCCTGGGTCAAGAACTCAACCTTCTTTTTTTTTTTTTTTTTTTTTTTTTTTTTTTTTTTTTTTTTTTTTTTTTTGAAAAAGGTAAAAAGAATATTATTAATGAATCAAAAACGGCATACAACACCAAGGCTACTGTTGGGCCGTACTCCTAAGAGGCCCAGATAACGTAGGGCACAACCAAAGGTCCGAGAGCAAGTCAGAATAAACCAAAGATCAACCAAAACGGCTTGATTGACACAAGTATGGCAAGAAGATCAAGGAATCAATCAGCTGGGAAACGTACCAAAAATACACAAGCAACGCAAGGAAAGAAGAACAAATAAAAAGATCTCGTCCTTTTGAATATTATTCTGATATCTATGTAAACCCTAGCAATCCCTAGGTATAAATAGAAAAACCAAGCATTGTAATGAGGAGAGGAGCACATTCATGCATTAATACAAAATATATCAGCAAGTTCTTACGAATTCTGTGTCTATTCTGATCAGGGAGTCTATCCTTACTCAATATTATATCTTTAAACTCTCTTTTTGTATTTGAATTACTCGTTTAGTGCTTTATTATCATTCTTGGTTATTATGATTGATATTGTGGGTTTGGTTGTTATTACCCCTTAAACCTTAAGCAGATTCCTAGTCCTACCTTACTAAGATTTACCTAAACAATTTGGCGCTAACCGTAGGGCAAATAATCAATTAACCTGCCAAATCCTCCGAAAAACAAGATAATCACCATGACTACTGGACTACTAGTACCTTTCACAATAGCTGAAATCAATGAGGGAATGAACGCATTCCGTCAAACCTTGGACCAGCAGAAAAGCCAGATCGAAACCCTGTTGGCCCAAAAAGTCTAAACTGAAGCCAAACTCACTAACCTGACCAAAAAAAATGAAGCCCCTCGCAACCAAATACAATCAGTCGCATCTAAACAGTCAATTCAAGAAAGAACACCGAAAGCATAACCAAGCAACTGGATATGTTAGGAGCTTTCCATAGCCCTATTAACGGGGAAATAAGTTCTAACAACAGGGAGGAAACCCTGGACGAAGGTTTTATTGGCGTAGGTACTTTTCAAAAAAGTAAGCAGACAGGAGCTGAGGAGGGAAAGATAGAAAAGGTAGTCAAGGAATACCTCAAGGCATTCAAAGCCAAGATTGCAAAGATCCCTGGAGTGCCAAAGCCCATGGAGGAAGAGGCTGCAGATGGCTACATAGAGTCACCCTTCTCAGAGGAGATTGCCATGGTGGAAGTACCGAAGAGATTTAGTACGCCCAATATGGCCATGTATGATGGAACAACAGACCCTGATGAGCACGTGTCCCTTTACAAGCAAAAGATGGTGACCAGTTCAATCCCTAGAGACATTAGAGAGGCAATTATGTGCAAAGGCTTTGGAGCCATATTATCAGGTCCAACTCTAACATGGTTCATTAATTTAGATAATGGTACTATTCGATCTTTTGCAAGAATGGTCAATCTATTCAAGATCCAGTTCGCAAGCAGTAGGAAGATCGAGAAGCAATCTTCAGATTTGTACCGAGTTGTGCAAAGGCATGGAGAATCCTTGAGGGATTATCTTAATAGGTTCAACAGGGAAAAGATTGGGATACACAAGTGTGATGCTCCCACAACCGCCGAGGCGTTCAGAAGGGGATTACTGGATCACAACGAGCTCTACAAGGAATTAACCAAGTATCCCTGCACAACCTTTGAAGATGTCCAAGCTAAGAGGCAATGGCCCAGGTTAGATTTGAAGAGGATGTTTACGCAAGAAAGACCCCTGAACCAGATCGCTCGTCAAGAAGGAGCAACAATTTTCCCAAAAGAGACCATTGATTCAAGCCTTATCAGCGTTCTCGCTTTGAGGAAGGAACAGTCAATGCTGTCGAGGGAGGATTCACAGATTGGAGGAAGATCCCGAACTCCCTCCTAAGTTGCATGAATATTGTTTCAATGTTAACCCTACAGGCGTAATTAGGACCTTGAACAAAATGGGAGATATGGTGCAATGGCCCAGGAAGAGCGACAAATTAGGAGAAAAGAAAGATCCGTCAAGGTGGTGTGACTTCCGTTCAAATATCGGTCACATTACTGAGGAATGCGTCGCGCTCAGAAAGGAAGTTGCTTACATGATGAAGAAGGGATCAAGGATGGAAAGTATGGCAAGAAGATCAAGGAATCAATCAGCTTGGAAACGTACCAAAAATACACAAGCCACGCAAGGAAAGAGGAACAAAATAAAAAAGATCTTATCCTTTTGAATATTATTCTAATATCTATGTAAACCCTAGCAATCCCTAGGTATAAATAGAAAAACCAAGCATTGTAATGAGGGGAGGAGCACATTCATACATTAATACAAAATATATATATAAGCAAGTTCTTACGAATTCTGTGTCTATTCTGATCAGGGAGCCTATCCTTACTCAAAATTATATCTTTAAACTCTCTTTTAGTATTTGAATTACTCGTTTATTGCTTTATTATTATTCTTGGTTTGATTGTTGTTACCCCTTAAACCTTAAGCAGATTCCTAGTCCTACCTTACTAAGATTTGCCTAAACAACTACAAAAAATTAGCCACCCACCTACACAAAAAACCCGATCTAACAACACAAAAAACAGCTATACAAAGAAAAACCAAGCTAAACATTCCCTATTCCTCCTGCTCGTTTTCTTTGGCATAATTTGGCTATAATTCTAGTCTGATACACCTCCCATACCAGCTTCTAAACAACCAACTTAGGACTCTGCACGCACAAATCCCAGACAGCCTTATTTCTTTGCTGCCAAACTACATACATAATCCCTGCATAGTAGCTCTGTCTTTTGAACCTGACTGTAATGCCTTGTAGCTTCAAATTGCATTCTTCCAGGGAGCTTGGACTACACTTAATGCATGTAATCTGGTCCACTAAGTCACAACATTCTTTACTGTAATGACACTAAAAAATAAGTGCTCTGTAGTATCATCCCTGTCACCACACAAAGGACAAGAAGTATCATTAATGATGCCCAACTTTGCCAACTTTATTTTCACTACTCTAATTCTTTTCCACACAATTAACCAGGTAGTAAAGATGTGTATAGGAATATTCAATCTGTTCCAAACCCAATTACACCATGGAACCTCTGAAAGTTCCTTCTGTAACCATTTATAACCACTAGCAACTGTGTAGCCCTTTACATTTGCATTCCATCTACTACCAATAAAGTCAGGCTTAAAAAGCTCCTTTACTTTCCACAATTGTTTCCAGCTCCAGCTCCAGCTAGCATTAGCAGGGCAAGAAACTCTTTTCCAATTGTTTTCTTTTATGTACAGATGGTTAATCCACTTAAGCCA